ATCCTCGAATGAGGCCGAACCACAGCTCAGCTGTGTCAATGTCCTGGGGTGCAACAGACAGCGCAAGCCGAATGAAGGACACTTCTTGCTGAACCAAGCCATTTGACCTGAAAATGGCAGATGCATGGATGTAAAATGTGAATTCAGAATCGAAGAGCACAGCTCCAGGTAAAACGGAAGCTAGCGTTTCCGCATCCTCCAATGAGAGCCCACTATCATGACCTATAAGAGAACCGTGAGCACGAAACTGTCGATTTCAGACGACGTTCTCACCAAAGCTTCCAGCAACTTTTTCCATCAGCTGGGCAGCATCTTCAGCACGACCAATATTGATGTATAGGCATGCAGCAATGAATACTACGCCCGGTGTGCGCGGTAGCCATGCCAACATTTCTCGGGCAACTTCGTAGTATCCCAAAAGGCGGAGACGTTCACAAAAGAGCGCTTCGAACTGCGTCACCCGAGCAGGGGAAGTAGACTGAAGCACGCCGCTCGCGTCCAAAAAACGATGAGCTGCCCCCGGTAGTTCCATCGTCTCACCGGACTGACCTGCGAGGCGGTGAAGTAGCGAAAAAGTCGGGACAAAACGAGGCTGATTCCTAGACACATGCATATTGCTCATTCGAGCAATTACATCGTCAGTGGTCAATAGTTCGTCCGATGCCTCTTGTTCACCGCCTGTGTCTGCTGCAGGTTGGCGTGCTACAGATCGTAACATCGCCAGCCCTCGGAACACTGCGAAGACTTCTTCTACTAGCGAAGGATCCCATTCCTTCAGATCATCAGCTAGGAAGAATAGTAAGGTGACCAGTGCGATGCATATATCATAGCGGGCATGCACCGTCGTCGTGATGTATGATGCGGATAAAGCGGTCGTCCAATCAGATCGACTGCTTGGGAGCAATAGCTCGACTTCATCCTCTTCCCGCTTTACTTCTTGTTCGAAGCCTGCGACGAGATCAAGGATTATTCGGACGGCACCGTCGAGGTCTTCTATGCCTTGCAACCGTGCTATAATGCTGGCTTCTGATGGCTCATCAAGAGAAGCCTTGAAGTTGAAGCGCTGCGCTTGGTCTTCAATAATATCCACGATGGAAAATGCGATCTCTTGATGGAGAATATCAACAATCCTGGTCTCCAGATTTTGAAGCGCCTCGTGCCCTATCTTGTCGCAAAGCGTCCAGAGTATGTCCAAGACAGCAAAATGAGGTTCCACTGGGAGGGAGTCCGAAAGGTACCGGTGAACGTTTAGTGGCAGGTCTTCCTTCACATAGACACCCACACGTTCTCGTTCGATCACGATCACTTCATCTCTGCTTTTCCCTTTACCTAATCCCAGAGGCCAGCGGGCGCTCCGCTCAACTTCACGGCAACGTGCAACAAATCCCTCCCAGTCTCTTTTGAGCGCATTCCAATACCGATCATGCTGCAGTGCCCCTGTCTGTGGGTCCTGCATTAAATTCACAGTACAGCCGACAACCGCAGCGATGTTCTCTGCCGTAGTGGGGTAAGATGATGTGAGTTGAGGGGGTGGATGTGGTCCGGAGACTGAGAGGCACGCATCTGTGTACTGCTCCACAGCAGTCCGCAGAGTAAGTGGAGAGAACACGCCTGGTCTCAAAATTGCCGTCATGAATTTATCGGTCAACGAACCGGGGGAGCGAAGGAGCTCGTCAAGATTCGTAGGAGTCAAGTCCGTCTCTTCCCCATAGGTAGCAGTCTCCCAAATTGCATCAGAACCATCAGTCACTGCTATATTTAACCTAGTTCTCTCCGTCATGGAGGACCCTTGACGTTCCCATAATGTGTATAGGAAGTCATCGTTAATTATGAAATCTTGAAGGTGACAATGAGCGCTGGAAGCAGAACATTCGACGGTTTGAACCTCGCGCATTTGATCGGAGTTAATAGCAATGAGTTGGAAGTAACCACCAGACTGTGGATATGAAGGAGTTGGCGTAAACGCAACGGCGTACGTGGTTTCATCGTCGCCCCCATTTCCAAATATCCGGAGGAGATTACGTGGCTCAGCTCCAAGAAGCTCAGATTTGATGCCGTTGGAAGTCACATATGACTCTCCTGACACCTTGCCTGACAAAGACAAAGTTTTGGAGGCAACACAGCCACCTTTTGCTGTCCAAAGTCGTAAAGTACGATCCCGTGAGAGCGTCCACATATAGCCCAGCTCGGTGGGCTGCGGCCTGCTAGCAACAGAGAGAATCTCTGACCCTGCAGAACTCGAGGATTGTAAACTAGGCAAATATGAAGTGAGTGTTCCCAGAAATGAACTTGGGGAGTAAACATGTTCCGCCCAAAGGTCTACGCAACAGGGAAATGTCAAAGACTACCCAACGGACGTTAAAGGTACATACCATGGAAGTTGTCATCTCCGATATTCTCAGCTTCTATGCGGACAAGGGAGCCATTTGTCAACCCAATCGCCACGCATAGTAAACCTTGTGCTTGCACTACGCCATAGAATTGTTCTGGCACGTTTTTTATTATATATTCTCGACTCCACTGTTTGGGCAATGGATCGTGCCATAATCGCGTCGGGTTGACGGTGGGTAGAACCAAACGGAATAATGAGCCGCTGGAGATTACTGCCAATACGTGTAACTCCTTCTCGCCCCATGCGAAAATAGCTGGAGCGGGCAAGACTGCAGAGGGGAAGACGAACCGAATCGGGGGAACATCAGTGGAAAGAGAGATAAGTTCCAATATCAGACCACCATGAATAACGCGTAGAAGGATTGTTCCTGTGTGAGGGGCATAGAATGTTGATGAATATGAAGCGTGTTCTGAGGACGAATCCGTGTCGGTGTGTGGTGGGGGGAGTGGCAGATTTCGACGTTCAGTCTGAAGAACTTGGGATATGGCATTAGAGGAAGGATAAAGCGACGAGAGCTGAGCGGCAACGAGAATGTTACCACTATTCATTCTGATGCTATAGTAGCCAGATGATGCACAAGACGATAGAGCAACAAATGGCTTGTCCCTGCAAAGAAAGGTCAAGGTCTGTGCTACTAGAAAACAATAGACGCCCTGGCGGCTTAACTTAGTTACCTTTTTCGGCTGACAAGCGCCAAATGAACTTTAGCTTGCAACGTTGATCATCTCCCCCCGATAGGCACCTAACCCAGCCCGGCAAAATAAGCTTCGTGTGATACCGGCGCGCCTAGTAGCTTGTGCTTTTCGTCATGGGACAGCATGAAGGGTATGTCTGATCGAGACTGTCCACACTAACTCATAACTAATCATGGACTCCTGTATCAACTTCAAACAGACACAGTACATACCAGCTATTATACTACTTCGGTATTAATCATATCGAAAGGAGTACATATAGCACTCGAGATTTTATACATTTCGAGTCTGTGTGCTGTGCAGCTGCGTGCAACCACCAGCCTGATATATTACTACCATGCGGACATGAATAATTGATGGGTCATGATGCTCAACGGAGTCAATTATACTGATCTCTTGTTCGATTGAGTGGTCTGATTGGGCCAGGACGATAAGTAAAAGAACTTTATGCATTTATGGACTGAGTACTGATCCATCGGATGCGCATTACCTACAGCACATGAAATCACGGTGCTGGCGTAAAGCTACTCTCCGGCTATGATTCATACATTCTTCCGATATCTCGCCTTATCTAGGGCTTCAACATAACCGCGCCGTACTAAAACATCACAGGTGGCGCTGAATCCACGGCGGATCCCATCACGAACACGCATTGGTGTGTATGCCGGGCATTAACGATTCAAGTCTCAATCAGGTATATCATACATTGATGGTCTTATTGGCGAGCGAACCCCAAAAATCTGTTGCTCGTAACTGGTTCTCAGCGCAAAAAAAATGTTGCGCCACATACCAGGAACAATATACATGCTCTGGGCCCAGCGGTTGCGGCCACTACAACGTGCCTTGAGAGTGCCCCCAGGGAACGGATCAGAAGATTTAGTAAATGAATGAAAAAAGAACATTCCTGTAGCTGGTAGTAGTTTGAGCCTAGATGAGTCTCCTTGTCACGAGATGATCCCATGACACCCTTAAGGAGACGGTCGGACAGCCATTAAGAAGTTCAAGGTGTCGTACGAGTCACATCTACTTCACGGTCAGCTTGAAAGCGGAGGTTTTTAGAGATTTGGTGCACGGGATCTTACACCATTGAATAGTGCACAGGTACCGCTGAGACCAATCTGTTTAGAGAAGGTCTGGACCGGCTGCATGAGTCGGCCGCGAAAGACTTCCATCCACGTTCATATGCCCCTTGTTTACACGCCGTATTGCTCGACGGCCAATTTGAGGAACCGCCAGGTCGAAGGCACGTCGCGATACATTGTAAGATGGGCCTGCGTAGAATTGAAAAGAGGCTCTGCCAGATCCGATGCTATATCAATCTGTCGGTCTTATTCGTGACTCCCGCAAGCGAGTTGTAACAGATAAGATTGACCTTTAGTTCAACCGGCCAACTGTGAGAGTGCGGCCGAGCCGAAGGACTAAAAAACGCACGCAGACAAACACGCGTTGCTAATGATCGACCCCAAAACTGTCGGCAACGACCTCAAGGCATGTACAGAAAACACATACCCTGATTTTTATGTCAACTTTTGCAATTTTTATGTCGTCTACGACCTCGAGAAGACGGCGCGGTATAGAATAAGCTAATAAGCATTAAAACTTCCCGATTTGTCGGTACCGTCCACACTTGTAGGGCTTTATTATGCTACGTTGCTTCCCGCACTCACAGTCACTACAAGCACTGCGATCATGATCCATCAATCATCCAGGCTGAGAACAACCAAGGGTAGATCGGGCAGACTATTATGACTCCCCATCATCAAATTGCAAATCCACTTCAACGCGACTCATCTACTTCGCGGCACATCCAATTTAAACCGTTAACTTGTTCTTATTGACCGTCCTCGTGCCTACACTAAAACCGTTGTATTATTTGTGATACTTCACAGATCTCGGCGGCCCATCCTCATGTCTCCAGGTAAGACCTCTATAAAGAAGAGCCACTCACTCCTCTTTCCCCAAAGTGCTCGACTACATCGCTAAGACTTGAAGTCCACTCGAGGTTCACAACTATTACTACTTTGCTGCTTAAATCTCACTCATCTTCTCGAATCCATCTCCTTCTGGCAACACATTTATGGACCAATTAGTGTCATTCGAGGCTCTCCTATTTCCTTCTGACGGACGCAATCCACATATGGTGGCTTTGATGACAAGCCCCATGTCGGTACCCGACCCGCATGCTCCATATAGCACCCTGCCTTCTCGGATGCCACATCCTGAAGTCTATATGGACTACATCGCCGAAGGCCTCGGTCCCCGAGCCTGGCATTATCATGTGAGCACAAAGTCACATATCATCTCTGCCGAAATCTGACGTTGGACTCATAGCTCGTCGAGGCTCTCGACGGTATGAACAAAAAATTCGTTAATCCTTACGTTATCTACTATCCGACCGTCTCTCGTGATGGGATGCCCTTCCCTATCAATAAGTGTATCAGGGAGATCCAGGGGCGATCATTCAGAGAGGCAACTGCGTGGCGCGGAAATATCATCATCGCCAAGTATCGGGAGAGCCCCTTCTCATCAATGGTCAATGGATCAATCGCTGACTTCCCAATATTGAGGAACTACTTTATGACGCACGGTGCGCCTCAGGTAAGCAAGCGAGTGGTCCCTTGTCGAAGACATCATACTGATCATTACCGTCAGTCCTAAAAAAACCGGCACTTAGCTGTATGCGGATGCCGACCCGAAGATGCTTCTGTGACACGGACAATCTACTTCATGTCATGACGAAAAAAACTTATGTAGATATGCTAGATGCAACACTATCCTATATACATGCCATACGTGCCTATTATCTTTATAATAATGGACATCAATAGCTCTACCTGTAGATTATAACTCCTCACGGATTGGCACCTCCGAATTACCCTTAGAATGGGACATGGGGTTAGAATTCCCAGTTGTTGGATGACCTTTCTGTTCCTTCTTTGCATCGCAATGTGCAGGTATCGGACTCGTGGGATCAATCGGGTGGTGCAAGACCTTGCCAACTTTGTAGTATGTTTTGTGCTCTGCAAAGAACTTCTTCCAATGTTGGACGCCCTACATGTGTATTGACAGATTAGCCCTGTGTGAACGCTGAAGACGTCATCAACACTGACCCTGAGCTCGTCATCGGTCAGACCTCGTAGGTCATGTGTGCGGTGAGTGGCAAAACATCCTGTACCAAATGACCTAGCTGCGTCTACCCCGACCCTGCAAATAATTGATAAGGAAGTCGAGGAAGCATGGCATATACCCACATATGGTGATAAGGACCTCCAGGACCGTACGTCCTGCTACCACTCGAGACGTCAAATACGTCACCATCGATCTACACGAGAATGATGAGGTGTATGGACGATCACTTGAAACTGTTGACCATACCGCGAGGTACAGGGGTTTTGCGGGGTCACGCCCATCAAATGTGGCCAAATATGTTTCTGAGAACAGGCGTCCATTCTGCTCCTACAATGTGTGTGTGGAAAAAGTCAGGGATATCGATGAAGAACTTAATGGAACCAAACGAACTGGCCAATATGTCTTCAGCCGCGCCCACTTTCCTTCGTATTCCCACAGGAAGCTGCCAGTGAAGAACTTGCCCGCAATGACAATAATGAGAATTAAATACACAATGAACTTCAGCAGCCCGAGGAACCCTACTTCCTGCTCGGCAGTAGGATCCTCTTCCGCAGGACCAACTTCTTCTCCTCTGGCGAGTTTCTCCTCACGCTCGCGATTTCTTTCAAGCCATGCTAGGTGCTCCTGTTCTTGCTTCTCTTTATATTGCTTATGGCTATAAATCGTTAGTTGATGTCTGCAAGCAGGTAACGGCCACGTACGCTAAGAAGGGTTGATTCGCAGCTTTCTTGGTCACCTTCCTGGTAGGGTCGGATGGGTCCTGTGTCATATTGTCCTCTGTTGGTGGCTTTGGAGCATCACCATCTGGGTTCCATATCCAAGACATGATTCGTGTGCGACCTCGCGGATGCAGAAACGATTCTGCCACTGAACACAAACTGAACACTTCTGAAACGTCGCGGTATTAACTCGGAAGCAATGCAAGTTAAAGCTGTTTGCACTTGTGTGGGCGAACTGTTGTCAATGTTCGCACAAAGGTCTTTGCAGCTGCCTAATAGGAACGTAGGGACACACTAAGCCCTGGCCCTCGGATGCGTCGTTGTACTATTTGCATTAATTCTAAACACGACCGTGTCTGTTTAATAATGCAAATAGTGCTTGCTATGCATTGCAAGCCAGCTGAGATCTTGCCGATCACACTGTCACTAGAGATCACTACATGCGAGATGATCCAATCAATCCACCTCAAGTACATACATGCAACAAGTAGCATATGACTCCTTGATATACGACAGGAAGTCATGAAATTAAGTGCTACCTACATAACAAGGCAGTAGGTAAGTGTAGGGTATTAAGTAGACTGTACACCGCGAAGGGACTGGATGTAGAGAGAAGATACCGTCGTAATGCGATGGGATGAGAAGGCTCGACAGGGTTGAGGAATATTGTTAAAGCATGACAAGCCGGCCCAGGATACTATACTGGATGATGCCAAAGAGATGAAAACAATTACGGCGATGAAGAAATTATGAACGGTAACCCCCCGGGTTTGGAATCAAATGCGATAGAAGGAGAAAACAACATGGATGGTGAGCATACGGTGGTCAGCGGAGTTGATGAATGTACGACGTCGTGCAGGGGGCTTCCGCAAGCACGCCACAATTAGAGTAGCAATGAATAAGTCCATGAAAAGCGAGATGGAGAGAACATTCGCTCATGAGACATGTGGCGACCCTGGTATGTCTCTGTGGTGATGCCGGTGTTCTCGCTCACTGCCTTTCAAAGACACCGTGATGTAAGCCCCACCGGTCTCCTCAGAACCGAGGCCAGGAGGAGCAGGGGGACTGGTGAGGAATTGAACGTCATCACCTGGCGCATCTCCCTCTCCAAGCCACTGCCGTGCGTCCAGAAACCGCTGCGTTTTAATGAACTGCAGACACATTAATAACGTAAGAAGGAGAAAATCTTGGAAGCAAAAAAGAAGCATACCTTGGGCAGCGAGTCCATAGCCATCAATCGAAGAACATGCGTTTGAATGCGCGTGTAAAGTTTGATCAGAACTTGCAGTTGCGTGGCGTTGAAAGAACCAGCTTGACTAGCGTCTACTTGTCCATCGAACGATTTGCCGTGCAGGCCAACCATCACTTCACCAAGATAATTGGCGAGATCGAGCCGAAGACCATGATCAATGTTGAGCTCGTTCTGACTTGATGGCGCGAGGTATTTGTTGTATATTTGAAAAGCAGTCTGGATTAAAGCCTCGTGATGTCTCTCCATGGCGGCTTGACCTGGAGTTGCTTTGTTGCCTGACCGAGAAGGAGCTGCAGCTTGTGCACTAGAAGTCGTATTGAACTTGCGCTTGAAATCTTCGACATCCATCCAAAACGCCAAATTCTCTTCACAGAAGTTCGCCTTCAGGAAATCACGGAAGAGAGCGCGATATGATGGTTCTTCCAGGATATATTTGAGACGGTCGGTATTGCTCTTGACGTTGCCTTTCTTCTCCGCAGCCTCGTGACTGGAATTTAGCTTCTCCGCCATGGATATGCGACGATGGATTTTAGCGTCAGCTGCTTCGATTCCCGTCTTCGGAGTACCATTGATGGATTCACTTTCCAGCGACGAGCGCTCGACATGATTCAGGTTCACCGTCGAGCTGTGAGGAGACGTGCTGGCTTCGTCCCACTGAGCGAGTCGTTTGCCTTCGTCTGTGATTCTATAGATAGCTTTAGCTGTACATCGGAACTCTCCGTGTTGCTGGAACAAACGATACGATAAGAACACCTGCGAAAGACTCGTTGACTGGGACTTACGCTGACTGGAGAATTCCCGCCTGGGGTAGAACCACGAACAGTGAAAATGATGGCAGAGTCATTATTTTTCCGTTTGTCGCTAACCAATGTGATGAGGCCGAAGCGAACAAACTGGGCAGCCATCTCTGCCGCTTCTTCTCTTCCAACAACAGAGGTGAAGTCGCAGAGCCATTCAAGAGCACTCACGGCAGCGAAACAGTGCTTGTGCATGACCGTGGCCTTGCCCAGCAAAGGCTGCGCGCGCTCTTGCACATCCATTAAAGGTACACCTTTGGATCGCTCGTGGTATTCTTGAAAGGCGTCTTGCGGATTGGTCGACAGTTGAGTGGGGTAGTTGGGCTGACGACCAACAAATCGACGGAAGAGCGCAGTTATGACGGATTGTGTAACGATAATCTCGTCGTCAGCCGACCGACGCTCTAAATGTAATAGCTTGATGCATATTGGTTGGGAAGCAAATACGGGTTGCAGATGGTCGGAAGTCATGCCGTTCTTGGATATGAATCGTTCCAGGACATGGAGACCCTTGGGCGTGAGGACATAAGTACCGCGATCTTTGAAAAGATTGCTACCAAGATCGGCGGCGTTTTCGATCAAGCGAGCGTCCATGAAGTGTTGACACATAGCCTTTGCCATGTCACGAGTCATCGAGAATGTCGTGGTGGTTGTGGTCGTCACTATTCGTGATTTATCTCTGGGATCCGGCCCGCGATTTGACTGAGAGAACTTGAGAGATGCTAAGTTCGCAGCAGCTTCATCCCTGATAAAGAGTATGAGATGTAAGTTCTGGAAACGGGCGATCAAGTACGGACGTGGTGAATGAGTTCGGGAAAGTGCGAAAATATTGTTTGTGCGTGGTCAGATGAAGAGATACGATGAGCGTTGCAAATAGGTCAAGGGTGTCCTGCGCCGAAGCAATTAGCTAATGCCATTGAGAAGACTATACAAGCTCACCTTGAGAAAAGGCCTCCCCCGTTTTGTGGTCTTCATCATATGAGATGAACTCGCCTGAGCAGACTGCTCTGCCTGATCTACGGATGTCATTGATAGGGCACAAGGAGGCTAAAATCAAGGGAAGATAGAGTGATGAGGAAGAAAGTACAGAATTAAACGACGGACGCGGTTGCAAGAAAAGGAAGAATAAGAAAGATGTTGATGGCAGCGAGGCAGGGCGTAAAGAAGGGAAGGAGGCTCGGTAGTCGTGGGTAAGTTTGGTGGCAACATTATTTAATATTTATTGTCACATTTGTCACATTAATAATAATTTGAACCGTAATAAACACCTCGGCCCTCGGCCGCCTATTTTGTAACTTTCCTTCCCACAGATTTACTCTAGTGACGACGCCGTCATCACTTTTATCATTGTATACTTGTCCCTTAACATGACTGATAGACTGTGCAACGAAGGCACCCGGGAGTCGAGATTAAAATTCTCAAACAGTCCTCATCCGTTGAGTCTTCTCATGTGCCGAAAGCTGTAGCGCTTATATCGCTTGCTGACCATTTCCGCATTTGCGTGTGACTCTTTTTAGAAAGTGGCGCCGCGGCTGTGGCGGGTCACTTTGATCTCATCGTCGTCGGCACACTGCCCCGAGAACGGCAGATGATCCGTCGCTCCATCCTCCGAGACTCTCGCACAGTCTTTTTGGCTATTAGTACACGGGTAACCACTGCTAGTAGTGGTTCCATTTTGCCACATCCCGACTAGATGTCGTTCAATTGTTTCAAGTACGTTTTCTCCTTCAGAACTTTTGTGTTTTCTACCCACCATCCTTTTTGTTGTCATCTGCCCCACTTCAATAATAACATCTATTGATACTGCTACTATAGAACAGCCTATTGGTCATGTTTACGGAATGTCGTCGTCGCTTAAACACGAGGCAGGAGTCCCAAAACTTACTTTATTAGCACATCGCCTCCCATCATACTGATGCCGCATACTGAGGCACCAGACTCCCCTCTTTCCGTTACGTGGTGACTGAGATATTCCTCGATCCCCTGTCAACTCTGAGGTCATCGCCCTTGGCCTGATCATAAATCTGCAAATTTGGGTAAAATTCGAATCTTCTACTTGAGTCGCACTTTGCTTTCCAAGGCTAAACAGTTCGAGTCATTGCTCCAGTCCTACGACTTTTCTGCTCTGCAAGCCTTTCTTCCTCGGTTACAATGGCTTAGGCTGCATTCCGTGAGAAACCGGTGGACTTTACTGACGTCGAATGACAGGGAACACCTGCTAGGGACCTGAACGTAACTTTGACAGGTTCCGTTGAGGGAGTCTAAGATGATCGCGTGATGATGCGTATATATGATCCATGCGGTTTCCACGTGTATCTACCATTAGCGTTTGAAACACTTGGACTCTCCTCTGGGGCCTTCCGACTGGTCTAATGGCGAAGGCCCTCAAGAAGCCCTCGAACGGAACTCGGTGATGGGATCACTCGTAGAGCTTTTGCCGAAGGAAATCAGTGAGTGTCTAGAACTTGTCAAGGTGATACTTATGTGAATCGTACTGCGGCTGTCATCCGTTTTCTGCTCTGTTCGGGGGAAACCAACTCACGTGGATTGTATCACGAACAGCGCGTTGCCTACGAGCATATGCCTGACGGGCAATAACCTCAAACAACCGAGCGAGCTGTGCGTGAAATCTTTTAAATCCTTTCATTCATTTAAAGTACTACAGTATTCGCGAGCCTATAGGCTACTACCCATGATCAATCCCAATTCTTCCGGTTAATCATACGGCTAAACCGTGTGTTATCTACGCGAGTATTCGGAAGCTCTACGTTCCGCCCAAATTTCAACTATCCTTTCGAAGTTCGAACTGGGCCCCTCGTCTCATCGTGGAGCCGACCTCATCCGACTTTGCCTACTTGCCATATGGCGAAATCTGTTACCGATCAAGTACAGTTCTTGCGGAATTAAAATTATGCATTCATGAAAGATCCCTATTGCAACAACGTTGTTCCGCTAAGCGCCTATACTCTGATGATGAGAATGCTGACGAAGATGAGCCCACTTGTCCAACTTCCTGTGGACCACGGTCCGGATCTCATTAAGCTGCCGACGAGGAGGATGTGCCAACCGCGGAAATCATATCATGCAAATCATCAATCGGGCTTCCGCAGTGCCTTTGGTCCGTTCACTCGCGGAACCGCGATCAGCTTAGGGGCTTACTGCATACTGGACTATCTTCGAGTGATGATGGATGACTCGGATCTTGGGTTGTATTGGATATATAGTACACATGGATTATCCGATTTTTTCTCCTGCCGATGATCGGTCCTCGATGAGTAGTTTTTCCTTGTAAACTCAGTCTACATGTACCATGTTAATCGCTCTTGCAACTAGATTAGGTTCTCTTGAACACCAAAGTCGATGTGGATTTGCTACAATCCACCATGCAAGCAAACTTGTGATATTAAACCCAAAATTTACATCGACTGATTCAAATTTATTCATTTGCGTGTAACCGGTATAAATATATTTTGACTTGCACAAAATCAAACGTACACTAACTTGCGCTGGCAGAACACTGGTTTCGTTCCTGGAATAGCTGTCACTTGACTTGAGTCTGCGTACATAAAACGTATGTGATGTTTATGATATACACAGCATGTTAGTCACCATGTCGCGCAAAGTGCGCGATTATCAGACATCTCCGCGGTATTCCAACTCGGCGGAGAGGTTCATCCCTTGTACGTTTGTTTCGTCTTTCAGCTGTCTTTCTCATCGACTGTCCGCTGAGTGGGTTGTCAAGTCGCGACGGGTCGTTTGGGTGCACACGTAGACACGTACTAGTTACGCGACCGTTGAGCTCCGTTGACACATTTAATAATTAAACCTCGAGGTATAGTAGGTAAAATGTCACAACTCCGTTCGGAGCCCCTGTCAAAGTTTTAAAATTTACATGTACGATCATCCGATGTGATAATCCTGAATCATCCGAGTCATTCCGTAGTGGACTTACGATCGAGTCTGTGTGGTTACGGTTGCCGATGCAGTGCTCCGATCGGACCGCGGCGCACGGGACGGCTACGATCGAGTACGCTGTGACGCTCGATCGGGACCAAGTGCGCTACCGCCTTTTACCAATCAGGGCATACCCCGAAGATGGCCGGCACCTTGAAAGGCACGTGCTTTCAACAAGGTTTCTCCTGTCCCGGGGATCTGATAGATGGGGCTTCCGAGTCGGAAGTAAGCTCATATAGAGTTCGTAAGTTAAGAGGACTTAGCATTTAGGGAAAGACCATCGCGGCCAGAGCGACTCGGACGTCAGCTGCAGAATAGTGACCCGATCCGAAATGACATGTAATATATATGACTCTTACTTGTGAAATTTTAGTTCTAACTGCAGGCGTATATGATTATCCCGAGTCAAGAGTATCATGACAAGTTCCCTACACGACCAATCCAATCGATCAAGTAACGATACCCACCAGCTCAAAGACGATGTCAAAATCCTAATTTTGAAAACTTCGTGGCCTCGAGGCATAATTTTTGGGCTGTTCTGGCTTCACTTCACCATATGTGTATAGTTTTCAATTCATTATCGGACTCGAGATCATAAGAAACGTCCGCGCAAACTAAAATAGTACTGACTCGTCGTAGAAAGTGTCTTAGTCAGCGGCCACTGACTTCATGAACTTCACGAACATCAATGTGAGCGATGAAGAAGCCGATCAACATAGTCATGATACATACTGACATCGATCGTGATTCGCGACCACTAATAGGATCCTGCAGGTATCAAGGCTCTGCTCGACCAACTGAGATCGTCACAGGCTTGGCAGGAGAGCATTGGCGGCGGCGCTGACCTCAATGGCGTAGCCAAGAATCCACCACCGGCCTCGACCACTCCTCAGGGTACACCGCCGACTTCAACCACACCTCAGGGTACACCACCACTCACCCAACCACCTGCTACCACAAACGACGCGTCTAGGTCGTCGTCCTTGGTGGCTGACCTACTTTCCCAACTTAATTCATCCGAACCTAAAATTCTATCGAGGCCCTCACAACCTTCGACATCGCGTTTTACTACACAACAGACTCCCCTACAAATTTCACAAGCGGTTAGTCACCGCCCCATCCCTCCGCCTCCAGCAGAGTCGGTTCATCAGTCAACTGCAAACACCAATGCTCTTACGCATGGGCAAGACCTTCGCATGATGTCATTTCAGCAGGCCTTGCCCCGTCTCACACAACTGGCAGAAAGTGCAGATTTCGTTGCTGCTGTGTCCCATGTATGTCTGCCCGGCGGTCTTTACACATTCACATTATATGATTCCTGAACTTTAGTTACGAAAAGAGCAGAATGACTTGGAGAGACAGTTGTGGGAAGAACGACTTACTATACATAGAAAACACGAGAATAAAGTCAAGGTTACGCAGACCAAGTCCGTACATTTCCCAGCAATAGATCCCCTTTTGTAATTAACGATGTCCCTCACAGAGCCGCTTTGATTGGCGGAGGAATATCCCAACATGAGGCAGATGTGAGTACAACCAACACCACGTTTTCATTCTAACACACATGGCAGATGCTGAACGATGCATTTCGCAAAGAGCTGCAAAAATTTGATGCAGAACGCGTGCTTTTCGCATGGGACGGTCTCTTGCAGAAGCAGCAGTCCACGCTCGAAGGCCTCGGAGTACCAACTATGTTCCCTTCTGATTTGCGGGTCGATAGAGAGGTGAGTATCCAAGTAGCGACGAAGACATGTACCAATATCAATGCCGTGTTATTAGAAACAGCAGAGAGTAATTCAAGTCTTGGAAGGCATAGTGGGGTAATGAGGATCTGTAAACGTTTCTGTTCCGTGCCTCGTCATCTTTGCAGATACAAAGTATCTTCGGACCCAGCACAATAAAACTACCGTGTGCGGCAAGAGCTACCCCTGCAGGGATGGGAGCGGCAGGTAACTTTACCCCGTGACGGAGCTTGCGTGCGAATGTCGGAAGCTGATTACCTGCCCGTCGAACAATGTTCTAGGCCTAGCCATCCCGGTAATGAAGAACATGGCATTGGATATGCCATCGGCGGCGAGCACATGCGCGAGATGGCATACTCGAGTCATTTACTTCAGGAGACGGAGACGTGAGAGGAACTGAGACGCTGGGAGGAAGCTTGAGTCGCTTCCATTTGCCTGCATTGCGGCATGTCGTACGCGATAACGAATCTCAGTTATCGCAATCGTAGAACTTGAGCAGCTCGATGAGTAGGACGTCCTCGGATCTTCTCATTTCGAGACACAACCAATTTTGAACGGGAAATCTGGGACTGATCAAAAAGCTGACTCCAACTGACTCCAGCTTCAAAGAAGCAGATCTCTGTTGCCATTATCTTGAGGCACAAAACAGTTGCGGCGGCAAGGCGGTGCGGAAGTTTCCGACGTTGTCATTTCGGACGTATTTATTTGCCCAGATTTATTGTTACCGCGACATTCCGTCACGTGAATGGGGGCTAGTGGTTCGTAACGTCAATCAAAATTCTAGGAAGAAGACTAGGTTCTTGACAACGGGGATGGCTGAGAATGGTTTGGGGGGAGAGCCGGACCGTGAGTATATATAAAGGTTGGTTGTCATTATTAATGAATTTATAGCAAATAACCACACACTAAAATTGGAGCGCTTCAGAAATGCATCGATGAGCAATGGCAATAATCCAGAAAGTACACCTTGGAGGGCAATTTGAGGAACAGACGGGAGCAAGTACACATTTTTAATTGAGAATAATTGGAAGGCAGCGACTCGTTGTCGATCATATTTTGGATTAAATATCTATGTATGTACAAGTTTGGCTCATAATTTTTAGCTTGTCCTCTTGAAGGCTACTCGGCTATTTATGAGAAATTTGATCGCATTTGACCCAAGGCCGTCAGGGCCTTCTAGGGAGGCGGCGGTCGTTGTTGTCACTTGGACCCTTTTATATATATAACACTATTTTGTAAACTTGTGGGTGCTTTGTCGTTGGTCGATTTCTTGCTCTGCTTCCGTATGCCCTACATCGATATCCCATCCAGGGACGACTATGTGTCGATATGGTACATCACGAACTCTGACTACGGTAATGTTGGCAGCTTTGACCCAGAGCGGCCCACTTGTATCCTCCTTCATCCCTTATTTCTGGACTCCAGCTGGTTGATTAGACACTTCGACGACCCCAGACTCTCCAAAGAATACAACTTAATAGCCTTCGACCAGCGGACTTGCGGACGATCACGATGTAGACCCAGCCAATGGCACGACAGCTACGTTGATGCAGCAGATCTCGCTATGGCCTGCCAGGTGCGATTCATTCATTAGACTTCATAACCCGGTTTCTGCTAATTAAATCGAAGGCTTTACTCTTACCTCCCTCACACATACTGGCATTCGAGGGCATCTCTGTGAATGCAGCTCTAAGACTTACTACACTGTATGTCCTCAAACGCGTGATATATTTAAGCTGACTGTCACTCTAGGTGGCCTGAGCAAGTCCTAAGTCTAACTTTATGCGACGTCCCCCCACCGACAGAGTATGTCCTTTTTTGTAACTGTTCGATGATGATTGATCGGTTGTTTTCTGATAATTTTGTCTATGTAGACTTCAATGGGTCTTCCACGCGTACGACGAACTCCTTCAGTTATGGTGTCATGCACCCGACCTCGACTCATTCGAACATGCAGGAAACGAAGTAGTGACTTTTATGACTGGGGAGGTAAGTCGCCGATCATGGCACGCAAGTCGGTAGCAAATTTATGATGCCACGTGCACGCCGCAGAGCGACAATCTAGACCTTCAAGATGATGTATGTTATTTCCGACCAATCGCACCACAATTGCTGAGTCAATTACAGTTGATAGCCTACTGGGAGAAATACACACCTCCGACAAAACGTCTGAGGATAGTAGAACTTGTTAACATTATGATGAATGTGAGCGCTATATGGCGTTCATTTGTGTTTTCAGCTCACGGGTCACGTAAGCGCACGCTTTTGAGGCCCGAAGAACTTGCCAGTATCGTTTGCCCTGTTCTTATTATTCAGGTATTGATCCTGCAATTGTGATCGGAGGAACGAGCAGAGTGTTGATGCATATCTACAGGGAGAAGCAAGTCCCATAGCTCCGCTAAAATACGCGGAGAAACTTAAACAACATTTACCAAACGCCCAGGACGGACCTCGGTTGTACGTTGTCAAGGGTAGGTGTGCCCATGATCGCAAATAGCGGCCTGCCTTACGTCTTTTGCAGGCGCCAAAGCTTGTCTGAATATCATCCCTGGAAGCGCGTCGATAGTGAACCAGGTCTTCTCAAAGTTTCTTGCCCAACAGCCTCGTGCACGGTCCGACCTCCTTCCTCCAAATCTGACCATACGAGAACGGTCGAGGGTCGCTCTATCGAAGCTTGCGGAATTCGTCGGCATTCCATCTATTGCCCAAAGGGATCCTTGTTCTCCTCTTTCGTTTTCATGTGTAAAAGCCGATGTCGCGAAAAGCCAGTTGGAAAACCTGATGTTTTACGCGAAGGACTTGGATAAAGCATACTGTCCGCTTGGGAGAGATGGTCGGCCGTTGCGGAAGTCAGTCACAGCGTTCGCGCTCCAATTTTATTATGCTAACCCTTTTGTACTCCAAGGTACTCTGAACGGAAGAAGGAAGCTCATTGGTTCCAAGGAGACAAACATGGTAATAGCTACATTGGTACGTTCGCATGCTTTCCGTATTTGCCCAATCGTGCTTCATAAGGCTACAGACACTTTTGAGCTCCAAGCCGCTCGCAACTACAAGGGGTACAAACAGTCACATTCCAAGACTGCCAACTCTCCAGAGCGTCCACTGGCAGTAGCCGGATCTTTAACTGCGAACAAAGAAAGCCTAGTCACAGACGAGGTCGCGCAGGATGGTCGCATGCGTCGAACAACCTACAATGCTAGCTCAGTCGACAAGCACGTTATTAGAGGAACGATGCAGAAGGTAGTGACACAAAGTGGTCAGCTGCCTAAAGGGCTTATAACGAAGGCTTTGTTACCGTCGTGACTGGTCCATGATACCTGTACCAAAAGTATTAACCCTCATTTTCTCTTCTCATGGCTGCCACAGATCACATCACGACGTCTGGAATTTCACAACTACCTTAATGTTTTTAGCACATATATATGTATCCACATCTAAATGTTCAGAGTACGCTCATGTACAAGTAATTGCCGATATGTATGAAGTTCACAATCGACTACAAAGAGTGTAACAACAACATTCCAAGGATACTGAGAGTCCACCTGTAAATACCGCTTAGCTGCTTACATGCTCCCTTCTGCCATCTTAGCCTTATAGTATCGGACCATCTCTTCCAAGCCCATCCGCACTGACCAGCGGGGTTGCCATCCCAGGCTGTTCTTTGCCCTGGTCGTGTCAGGGCGCCTCTTCTGAGGATCATCAGTTGGGATTGGCTTGTAAACAATCTGCACGCGGCGCGCAGGTTTGATGCCATCTTCTTCTTGCACTTTCTCTACAATCTCGCGAACGAGTTCTGCGAATTCACCAATGGTGAATTCGTCACCGTTACCGATGTTGACTGGGCGCGACTCATCGGAGTTCATGAGGGCAATCAAGGCCATCGATGAGGTCGTGGATGTACTGGAAGGACCGAGTCTGCGTGCCATCGCCATAAACGGTCATATCCTCGCCGCGCAGGGCCTGGACGATGAAGTTGGACACCACACGGCCATCATGAGGGTTCACTGTGGGATCAACCTTAGATCAGCGCTCGAGTTTGATTAAAACGTGACGGAAACGAACTTCGGGGACCTAAGGGGTGATAATTAAGTAATAGAAAACGGCAACGAGTGTAAGACTAACCGTAAGTGTTAAAGATACGTGCAACCCGAACATCCACGCCATCTTGATGATGGAAGCCGTATGTGAGAGTTTCCGCAACACGTTTACCCTCATCATAGCAGGCGCGAGGGCCTATCGGGTTGACGTGACCCCAGCTACAAGATAATAAAAAACACAATCAGAAGCGAGCTGAGTATGGCTCACTAATCTTCCGGTTGAGGATGAACTTCAGGGTCACCATACACTTCTGGAGCGGAATTAGTAAAGAAGAGGTACAATATAGAAAAGAACCATACCGGATGTACTGCTAATAAGGAATCTAGCCTTCGTGCGCTTGGCTAAGCCGAGCATGTTCAACGTGCCTATGAAGGAAGTTTTGATGGTTTTCACGGCATTGAACTGATAGTGTGGAGGAGATGCGGGACAAGCAAGATGGTATATTTCTGAGGTTGCATGATCGTCAGCCAGGCAGCGAATAGTACACAAAGGTCAAAGGGCTTACGATCGCACTCGATCATGAAGGGCTCCACAACATCGTGACGAACTAATTCAAAGTTTGGGTGACCAACCCAGTGACTCACGGTAGGTCTTTGAACCAGTGAAGAAGTTATCCAGGACGGTAACCTCATGGCCCAAGAGCATGAGCCGATCGACAAGATGAGAACCGACGAAACCAGCACCCCCAGTGACCAGAACTCGCTTCCTTGATGAGGGAGGTAAAAGCTTAACTGGGGCGAAGCGAGAAAGGGTCGTGTACGAGATCGACTGTGTGTCTGGATGGAAGATTGACTTGGACTGGTAGGCATTGGGGCCTTGCGTCAGATACCCGCGTCCTTCCTCTTCCTTTGCGTCCAGCTCCTGAACCTGGGACTCAGAAACTGAGACTACATAGTGCGATCGAAGATACAGTGATCGGAGGGTGTCAAGGGACACCTCAGAGTCGAACCCAAAGCGTTGGAAGCCAACACTTTTGATTTCTTGGCCGTTCTTATCTAGGGTCTGGGTCTATGAGTAGAAAAATGCATTAGTGGCACTGATCGATGAGAAAAAGATGGTCAGTACAGGTTGTTCAGATGATTTTTTGGCCATATTGCACGTAGAAATTGTAAAGAGAAGTCCTTGATCCGTGACACAATGACTTACATCTTTAACTGAAGACGACGACATCCTGGGGGAGATAGAGAGCACAGTGTGCCTGAAATCAGTGGTCAATTTTTTGCCTGTGCCGTCACTGCGGAAACGAGAATCAAATTGAACCTTAGTAACTCCCTTGCCGAACGTACCTGCTAACTTGTATTAGTCTAATAGTTATACCAGACCAAATTCGACTTCTTTTGAGCGCGGGAGAGCTACAGGCAGAACACCTTAAACTACTTGTATCAGGACGCAGGACTAGTATTGACTGGCGTCAGGAGTTGGCACCAGGTCAAGGTGTCGGAGTCTGTCTGATTCACCTTGTAATTATTAGGTAATCAATGTCCTATCAGAAAATAATATTTCCGATAAACCTCCTACAATCCATCATGCCTCGGGTACAGAAATCGGTGAAGCCAAGGCATGACCCTCTTCATGCACAACTGGACGTCGACGAGCAACAAGCGAAATATGGTCGCGTGTCTCAACCGGGGAAGCGCACGAAGCGGCAGAAATCTTCTAGCGATGAAGAGGTGTGTACACTGCAATATGTCCGTTAAATTGGTTGATCGCGCAATGCACAGGGAGTTCTTGACCCAAAAATGTCGAGAAGAATATTCGAGCTCGCGAGGGATCAACAAGATGAGATCGACATGCCCGAGGACGAAAATGAGCCTCGACATGAGGATGAACGCAAGCCCAGAATACAATTCGCGGATGACGAGGACAGTGATGACGATGATATGAGTGATAACGGCGACGCAGAGGATATGTTTGTCAGTACATTCCGATGTAGCTAGTTTGCAACTCACCATCCCCCCTTAGCAATTAGATTCTGGAGATATCCAGGCATTGGACGCACTCCTGCCATCTAACTCTGGTGAACGCCGAACATTAGCAGACATCATCTTTGCTAAATTGGAGAGTGGGGAGACCAATGGTGTCAATATCGTGCAAAAGGTGCAGCAAGGTACGGATCAAATTCTGGTCGCTCAGGCTATCTTCTCATCTTTTCTAGATCAAGAACATCCTGATCCAGCACTCGGTCTTGATCCTAGACTCGTAGAATCTTATTCAAAGTACGTATTTCCTCGCTCGCGCAATGGCGTTTACTGAATTTCTTTCTTGCAGACTCGCAATCTTCCTACACGGGTATAAGTCGGGGCCGTTACCAAAATTCTTCAAAGTTATTCCCTCGCTCCCAGCATGGGCAAGAGTCTTAGCGCTTACTCGTCCCGAAAATTGGAGCCCTCATGCATGCAGAGCAGCAACACGAATTTTCGTGTCCACGATGAAGCCTGCTCAGGTTCAACTATTTCTTTCCGTTGTCCTCCTGGACGCAATACGGGAGGATATACAGAGCAATAAAAAGCTCAACGTGCAATATTATGAATGCCTAAAGCGTGCATTATTCAAACCTGCAGCATTCTTCAAGGGTATCGTGTTTCCGATGTTGGAGGTGCGTCATCGGACACACAATTTTAATCATACTTAATCACTTCTACCACTACTAGAACGGCTGTACCCTTAAAGAGGCCGCTATCATCGCTTCTGTCGTTGCTAAGAAGAAAGTGCCTGTCTTGCATTCGGCAGCAGCTCTACTTCGGATAGCCAACATGGACTATACAGGTACAGTACCATTGTTCGCTATCTTCAGGGTAACTTATTATTCTCAGGACCAAACTCTTTATTCATTCGCGTCCTGATTGACAAAAAGTACCAACTTCCATACAAAGTTGTTGATGCCCTGGTGTTCCATTTTATTCGTCTTTCCAACACTTACAAGGCCCGTGGGCGCGGTGACACCCAAAAGCTTCCAGTGCTCTGGCACCAAAGCCTGTTAGCTTTCTGCCAGAGGTTAGTCGTTGCATTCGATATCGGTACCAATCTAAATCCGGTTTTTTTATAGATACTCGCCGGATCTCACCCCTGACCAAAAAGACGCTCTCCTGGACGTTATTCGCGTTAATCCGCATTTACAGATCGGCCTCGAAGTGAGAAGGGAGCTGGTTAACTCGGTAGCTCGAGGAGAACCTCGACCCGACGTCGCTCAAGACGTAGACATGTCATGACGTGCCATCAATGACGTGCCGCCTTTTGCCTTTATACATACAAGGACACGCGTTCGGTCTTCTCTTCGACGCCACACAGATTGTATTTAAATACAGTAGCAAGTGAGGAAACACGATATTCGCACAGTCCTGTTCTTCGTTCGTCTCTGCAAACAAACACGGCATATCTCTCCGCGCTCTCACCCTGGACAACGCTGTATACAATTGGCCGTGAGCAAACGGATCCATCAGTGAACCGGTGAGTCCTTGATATTGTAGCCATGGCTATTGTAATCAAGCATAATCTGGTTATCGCACTGTAATACTATGGATACACGAATATATTTCTTTCACCATGGAATATATATGAATTGTATCAAAATATAGGAGTATGATCGAAGTTTGTGGCGAGACTGTAGGGGAGCGTGCGCGTGATCACAGGAACAAATGGATAGCATTGCACTTTTCTCAACCTTGGTGTATGTTCCCGTTTGTCAAGTCCTTGGGATTGTAGATATAGCTATGTAATCCAACGTTATATTGCTACCGGAATTGTATGACTTGTTAAGGCTTTTCGATGGAAAGCAGCTTTCGTATCCGATAAACAAATCTAGAGCACCATGTCAATTCTCCACAACACTGCGACATGTCACAATCACTCAAGGCAATGAACACTACTCCAGATGTGCAGTTCAAGTTCACGATGGCAGGTTGAGTGACCGACATTCATGTACTTTTAACATGTACTAGATATGCTAGGGTATTGCCGAACGAGAAATCCAACATCTCTCACCATTCAGTTTAAGATAACCATGAAAAGCACATGCACTAGCGTCGAGTAAGTCAAAGGTAAGTATACATTGTGATAGTGTCAAACACTAAACTTTGAAAGCAAAAAGCAAAGCATGATAAGACAAATATTAAAAACTTCCTCCCTAGATTGTCTACTTCGCGTGCTCCCTGGACACGAAATAACTTGGGAAGATGCCCGAAAGTTCATCCAGAGGGCCTTTGGCTTTCTTTCCGTGTGTTCCGTTAGATTTCTTCGGCGCTTCATTTTCCTCGCGCACGATCTGCACCCATAACCCCCAAGTCCTATCAGCGTATCGAGTACGGTAGGCTCTAAGACCACGACGATATCGTTCTCATGTGGATTGTGCGGCTTTCCGGTATCGCCCGTTGCGCCCCACCCGCCGGCAACGGTGTCTGTTGTGTCTGCAAACCATATATCGGGTGGTGCGATGGTGTTGGCATTAGCGACGAGGGCAGTAGTGCGCATGTTAGTGACCTGGATCATTGTCCTCGATGGCATCTTTAAGTGCCGTTTCCTCTGTATCTGGGAGAACGGTTCTGCAGGACAAAGTTCGAAGAAAAGCTGGGGAGGTGTGGTGCGTTAACGAGGTTCCTCTCAGACCTACAAGAGAAACAATGAGAAACACGTGAGTTATTATTGTTGAGAAACAGACCAGATGAGGCCTTGTTCACGCATGTGAGACAATAGGAAAATTGTCACCGACTTCTCCGGGTCGTTCAAGAACACGATCAGCTTCTCCTCGCGTTGTTCTTCCAGATCATATTTGCGTGCCTGTAAAATACCTTCGTCGTCGTCGTGATCGTCTAATTCAACAGAGTAAGTTGAGCGAGCAGGATCCTTTAAGGAAGGAGCTAGTCCGAAGGTATCCTCCCCGTCGATCTGAGTATTAGAAGGGCTATCACGGTCATCGTAGTCATCGTCATCTGCTTTGTCTTTGCTCGGTTTACGATAGACCATTGGATTGACAAGGAGTTTGACGTACAGACGAAACTGTAAGGTTCGCGCAAGCACAAAGACGAAAACAACTACCTGGTCCCAGAGCTGGCCGACCCCACTGGCAGAAGTGACCGGCGGCCAAATGCGATTGACCCGAAAGTCGTTTGCAGCCTGAAAGAGGCGATCCACATGAGATATATTCCTAGCAGGCTGTTCAGTAACAATTCACGATATCGCAGACATTGAGATGGGATCAAAGGTGACAAGAAAACGACCTATGAATCGAACTTGCCCGTCGTAATACGCAGATCTTCACCTTCCTCCCACTCTTCGTACCACGGGACCTTCCTTGCAGGCGCGCTTTCTACGGCAGCAACGGTCTTCTTCTTACGTTTCCTCTTGCGTGTGTTGCTCTTGCACTCGTCAGTTGAATGCTTCACGCGCAACTCGACGGTGGGTATGCCCAGGCCATCGAGCTCCATGTCTTCCTTGTTCTGACTTCAGCAAACAGCTGTATCCCACACGCCCTGAAATCTTTGAAAGGGATGAGTGTCACTCCCGGTAGGGGTTTTGAGAATGGTGGAAAGGTAATGAACGCCAACTCATCTGGCTCAGCAATCCTTGAAGGCATTTTGATGAACGTTGTGGTAGACAATCAAGATGGATAGAAAAAGTGAAGCTGGATAATTGGTATTTACGTTCCGGTCAATCGTGTGAAGTCCAGTAGGGGAGCTCAAAGTTGAACGCCCAACGCCCAAGCCCAACGCCTAACGCCCAACCTCGTGACCAAAAAAGAGTATACCTAGAATAAATTGTACAGGTGCCGAGACGTAGCCTGCGGAGTTTCCCGACACCTCTTCCTCCATTCGTTTTTCGACCTACCTGCTACGCATCCTTCAATCTCTCGCTCGTTATCCCATTCCTTGCTCCCACCTACAGTAGACTTGCTCATAACGTATATGGTAATAATGTATATTTTTCATATTGTATTGGGTTTGGGTGGCTCCCATTGTGGTATGCGGGGAAATGGCCAGGATATTGTATAATGTATAATGTATAGTGTTTGGTGGTCCAATATACAGTATGACACCTAGTTTACTAAGGCCTGGGGTGGTCGGAGATCCTGCAAGTAGCATGAAAAATTTTCATTAATGCGCATCTAGTATTAACTCAATGGTGTGTAGCACCAAAAAACGCCAGCCGCATCCTAAGCCTGGCCCATTGGTCACGATAAACCAAAGTTGAGTACCATGGAGCTAATCAAGCTCTGTGAACAACTCGAGGCAGCATGCATTGCACGAGTTAATGCGGACTCTTCCTTTGATATTATTCACAATCTTTGTAGGCTCAGAGGGGTTTTGTGACGCGAAGAAATTCAGAATGCCAAGCAGGCTACTCTAGACACGTTCTGGAACATGAAGTAGACTAGATACCGACGACTCGTTGAATACATGTGATGATGCTGTGACTGTGGGAACCGTTCCATCTCAATTCCATCTTGTATATTTTTCATAGTGTATAGAGAAAGGGTGGCTCCCGTCGCTATACGTTATGAGCAAGTCTACTGTACCACTCCCTCCTAATACTTTGAACCGTTACTGCTTCATATTCCAATAATATTATTGTAATCGTTAGAATAAAACACTATCTTGATTGGGCTACACAAGAATATTAATTAGAGCACGACCAAATTCGTAAGCAGGTTTCCAGCCCACCCAGCGGCTCCACCTGCTTGTGTCCCTCCCTGAGCTAACACTCAGACCAGCCCAACACAAACAGGTCGTGCCTCCGACTCTTACTGAGCCAGACGAAGCTGGAAGTAAACACTACGAATAAGCAAATCTTATTGATAAGCATCATCGTCACTGAAGGTGATCAATACACTACAGCCATGGTTCATACAAGTCTGAGGCAAAGAAGCGGAACAGTAGGAGCTCGCTCAGGCCACGCGGGGCGATGATGTAATGTTAGGGTTTAGTTAGGGTTTACTTTGTATTTACTTCTATTTATTCTAGGTATACTCTTTTTTGGTCATGAGGTTGGGCATTAGGCGTTGGGCTTGGGCATTGGGCGTTCAACTTTGAGCTCCCCTAGTGTTATCGAGGGTACCATTGCCATGATAGATTAAGGTGAATCAAATGTATAGTACAACTATTGCAAACTGTAACAAAGGCAAGCAAGAAAAAAGAATGACTGTACTGGCTAGTGCAATGTATTCTGAAATATCTAAGACACTGTGAGGTCAACCAGAAGTCCCTCGAAATAACCCAATCCAGTTGGGTCCAAACGACTGACATAATCTATGAGAGCCTCATAGAGGGCGTCTCTGAAATGGCTGGTCTGGGACAAAGTATGGGAGCAAGTCTGGGACAAAGTATGGGACAAAGTCTGGGACATCGGCAAGCCCATTGGCACCTCCAAGCATAGTATGAATAATTCTGTATCCGTCACTGTTTCTCACACTTGCTCACTGTCTGCAACAGTGCCAAGGACTGACTTCCATCACTGTTCCTCATGCTTCCTTAATGTCTGTAATAGCACTTAAGATTTACTTCCATGGTCATTGCAATTATTTTTGCTGCCATACAGCAACAGAGTGAGCTCATTGCTATGTCATATATTAATTCAGTCCTTAACATCAGCACCTTCAAGCGGAGTATGAATATTTCAAAAAGGAGCAGGCAGGGAGAGGGGCGGGTAAGGAGATGGGTGAGCAAGGAGAGTGGCAGGTAGAGTTGAGGCAAAGCATATGCATGAACATGCAGCATTAATATTCCAGTGAGATGTTAGGCGGCGGCAGGCACGTTGGTGGGATTGATTGACATGGACATTGAATGGAGTTTAAATTCCACTCAGAGGTGCTGATGTCCCATACTTTCTCCCATACTTTCTCCTGTACTTTCTCCCAGACTCTGTCCCAGACTGGCCAAATCCCTGACATTCTGGCCTCATAGTACTGTATACATTCGACCTTAGGTTCATGGGGGTTGAGGTGTGACATGACATAATGCTAGGTTCACATGTTTGTTCACTGTTGTGACCTGTGACGAACTTAATATTTAGGTTCGTCGAGGACTTGAGGTGGTCGGACTACATGGACTTGGAAGGACTCGTAGTGTCTCGGCGGGATATTGAACACGAGGGCACATTGATATAATCTGGTGAGTTTATTTGTCTGGTCTGAACATCCTCGTCTCAGCCACAACATTATGCATATCTGCTTGTACCCCCTCCGTACTATGACTCGTTTATTCCACCTCTGCACCTCCCCATCATGGCTCTTCTCAACTTCACCAATCTACCACTATTTGACCACTTGCTCACAGTGGCCGACTTCCATCATTTTTCACTGCTGAGCACTATGTAACAAATGATGTGCCCACTGATTTCCTGGATCACTCCCTTCCACCACTTAATTGCGACGGTGCATTGCAAACACACAATACGGAGATTATGATGCACACTGGTAGTTAGAATTTGTTTTATCTCCTAGAAAAATGAGAGAACCAGATGTCACGATTTTAGGTTTGCCCTCGCCAGATGCTCGTGACTGTCACGCAAAATAGGTTCAGTTTGGGGTGTCTGCAATGCTGTGACGAACCTAAGGTTGAATGTATACAGTAGTCTGCATTTTCTGGAGTTACAAGTTCTGCAGGTATGAACGTGCCTGTTGAGTATTGTCCCAAGCCCCACCTGGTGGTCATGCTTCCAAACATGATTGCATTCCTGAGGCAAATTTTCCAGCTGTCCGTCTCATCATAGAAGATAAAGCAACTGTATTGCTTTCTCGATAGCATAATCTCCATCAGGGTGATGATCGCGGGGTGTCCAAATGGTATCAAATGCTCGCTGAGTTGCCCATCTTGCCTGAATAGCTGGAATGAAATGTCAAATTGAGAGCTCAAAACTTGACTGACAAGTGACGTACCATCATGAGACTAGTGCTGCTGCAGTCCGGTTCCGAACCTCGGTTCGAACCTGAACCTTTCCGAACCGGACACATGATCCAGTCCAAGGTTCAGCCAAGACTCAGAACCGAACCCTTCCAGAGGTTTGGGGTTCGGTGTAAGACCTATGGTCTTTGTGGCCTCATATAGGCCTTTTCTGTGTTGTCCCTTTGGTTCTAATATAGTGCACGCAACCTCTGGCATAGTGCGCATGTCTTCTATCGTCGGCTGACGGCCGCAGCTCGCGCGCACGCTTTGGCTAGCATCGGCTTCTCTTCAGATCCATTGCATGTCCTCCGTCCATCCTATCCATATCCTCCGCTGGTTCATTGGTGCGTACATTACTTGTTTCACACTAAAATAACAACAATTCCCAAGCTATTCTGTTTATAATTTCATTAAATGTGTCATGGACCCTACTTACATATGTCTCGCTACCTACTCAGTTCCGAATATCGCTTGTGTGCACATACATATATCGGATACTTAGAATTTTCATGTAACTTTTCTCTCCCATCAGAATTCATCACCTGTTTACACGCAAAACTACAAAGCCTTGACTAAAAATCTAAAACCTTCAGTACTCTCTCGCGCACACACTTCTATCGGTGGCAATTGTCTTGTGTTCATGTGTCTATAATATCCAACACTCTTGGTGCTTGTCATCGCTCGGCTCTGCCCTCGCGTCTTCAGTACCTCTTCACAACTCACCTTCGGCTAAACCACGCGCTTTCATGTTTTGTCACATCATGGCTGCTCACGCTCGCATTGCATTGCATTGCATCTTATTGGCGCTTTGCCTACGCGTATATCACATTGCATTTTTGGCGGCTCGCTCGCACTTGCATTGCATCAGCTTCGGCTTTCATGTTTTCTTTTAGTCTCAGTCACCCTTATTAGTTTCTATGTTTCCCCTCACACTTTTACTTAGAGGAATCATTCTCAGTAGCAATCCCCTCGGGCCAAATCTATACTCACGTCCAGAGGTCTATTTGAGTTTTTACCCCACTTCCCCCTTCCTCCCCATTTCACCCCTTCTCATCTAGCTATCATTCCTCGCACACATCGGGCTGGTAGTGAATAGGTTCGAACCTGTTTGAACCTCTCAATTTTTGTAGGCTTCACACTTTTTTTAAAATATGTAAGTATTTACTATGTGTCAATATATGCAAAGGCATGTGTTTGGAACCCGCACTGACCTGCACAGGGTAAAATTGACGTGGTCCTGTCGTGCCTTCCATGGTTGTGATGTGCTGTGACACAGTACTGCACTGTCACAAATTCATGTTCAAACACCATGTCTTGTGCTTGCATCAAACCTCATCCATGCCGCGTCACTCCTCTGCACTCACTCTGACTTTTTAGGTCCATTCTTGCTTGCCAGAGTCAGATCTCTGCTGCGTCAAAGCACCACACCTCCCACCCAAGAAAGTTAAGGACCGTCATTATTTGGAAGAACTATCTCATTCCTACCGGTGTGGCTATGATTGGGAACCATTGGTCAGTAGGCAATCATTTTCATCCTTTTACCTTTGGGTCTGACACTTGTGCTTCAGGGCTATCACAAATGATCCTGAAGTCTTCCCACAACAACACAAGTTTAATCAGCACTAGGTTGGATTGATGATATAGGTCGTGTGCAGTGTGCACAGCCTTGATCTCCGGTTTTTCACTTATGGTTTTGGCCGTTGGTGAGTAGTACTATCTCTCGACAATGTCTTATGTCTTACTTCAAACTATCAGTATGTCCTGGTCAACATATCATGAATTGGTCTGTCTTCATCAACATGGCTCTTATTCTGTGGGCTTCCTGCCTTTTGGAGAATCCTGCATTGAAGATCAACACACTTGCATTCTCGGACATCACGAACATACGTGCTGCTCTGTTTGAGTTTTACGAAGAGGATTGATGAGAATGTGATCAGGGAACTATGCACACCGGACAAATAAAATGTATTTATTTTAGAAACTTGAATTCAATCTTTGTACAAAGAAGTTCCCCTTGCATTCTGAAGTCTTTTCATTGTCTGTCTGACTCAAATTACACAAAGACTCATGGTCTCAAGCCTACACAACAAAGCAAGCGGTCCAAGCTTAGTCGAACCTGGTTTGAATGCGAACCGGACCTCCCAAACATGTTCGGTCCAGGGTTCGACCAAATGGCTGAACTGAACCATAGGTTCGGTTCAGCGTTCACAAAATTTGCCCCAAGAACCGGACCGAACCAGACTTCGGCAGCACTAGAAGGAATGAGTTGTTGCTAAGTAATGCATGAATCCTTGCAATATGGGCTGCTTGTAATGCACCACCATGCTCAGAAATAGGAAGAGACAATTCAAAGGCCATTATTACTGAATTGAGAACAACCTCTTTGAAATCGTTGCGGACCTTGGTCAGAGCACCCTTAGGTCTCTTGATTTCATTAGAACCCTCTTTATGATTCCTCCAGCTCTTGAGCGCATCTATAATTATTCATGAGTTAAGGCACAAAGGTATAGAAAAGAGATACCATTTGAATGTTGATTAATTACACTGTCAAGTGCATCCTTGGCCATCTGACTGAGCTTTGTGTCATCGGCAGGAAAGAAAGTGTTGTTGAAGAACGATCTAATCCATCAGGAAAACCCCAACTTACTTAATCTTGCTTAATCAACTTAGCCACATTTGTTTCCTCTCTTGTGCATCATCTACCTAGTAAATTTTGTATTTTTTAGTGTAACTTGTAACAAAATATGTATGCTAATATGACTGAACAACTTTTTCCTGAATATGTCAAATTTGAATTTCTAGCAAAGTAGGCTAAGTCACTAAGTACAACTTAAATCTGTTTAAGGCAAGCTTAAGTAAGTTGGGGTTTTCCTGATGGACTCATTTTTATGTAAGAGTCTGTCTTAACCTGCTCTATTAGCTGCGGTGGCAGAAAGATCATCGTTGAGACAAATTTTGGCATGGACTTTGGTGGAATGGAGCCAACGATGCACTTGGTGCTGAGAAACAAATTCCGGCTGGATATGTTTGGCATGGGATTGTTCATATTTCTGAAACCCCGGGCCATCGATGGTTGATCAGCAGGGGGCAGCTGAAGCTGGTTGTCCACATCAGGAAACCTACAATTCTGCTGAATGTCCTGATTTACCTGCATGACTGATATTAGACAACTGTCTGATATCAGTAACAATCAGTAACAATCAGCACATATCAGTTGTATAGATACATCAGATTATTAGACCAACAAAATCACAGAGTGTTCAGGCATGTCAGACTTTTAAATGAAAATTATGCAGTCATTCAGCAATATCAGCTTTACTAGTCTCTAGATTATCAGAAGTACAGATATATAATTTTGCAGTGTGTACAATTTTTCTGTACCTGGTGCAAGTGCAGACATCTGCACTAGCACCCTATTGCCTAATTAGGAAATGCCTGCTCACTGCACACTACAATGAGCTCAACATTTAATATGTCGGATGTTTATCTATTATCCAACAACAATTTACTACTAACTGATTCCTGAGTAGTTACATTAGAGATATATATTAAAATAAACTCTATGGTATTTTATTATATACAATGTATACTACACTACTATACTAATGTTAATGTCTAGTACCATAGTGTAGCAGGGACTTGGTGAAATTTCACATTTTTGATGATATAAGCAGTCATGTGATGTTGGTTGAATTTAGGTGGGAAAGCTTATATAATCAAAAATGTGTCCAACCAGGCCATACTGTTACATTGATACATCATATATGGGCTATTAGCCATAAACCCTCATACATCTTCTTGTCTTACAACCCACTAACCAAGGAGGATGTATCCTCATTCCCAAGGATGTATCCTGCAAATCTGGGATTACAAATCCTCGTGCCGGGGGGTTGAATGCCTCAAATGGACAATATCCCACCTGGTTTCCGGCTGGCCATTGCTTCCTCTGGACCAGTGCTTCTCGAACATCCTTTTGTGGCTATGACAGGCACTGTAGACTGATCTTGGATAGTGAATCTGTGGAGGTGCCTGTATGATCCCATACCGGTGCCTTGAAACATCTCATTTGTGAATTTCCCTATCACGTGATCTATGGTTTAACCTCTCTCGCTGTTGATCCTGACCAACCAATGACCCTGGCGCCGTCTGACGCGCGACTTTCTTCTCGACCTCCATCTGATGCGGGACTTTCTTGCTGACCACTACTAACAAACAAGATAGGTATAAAGTCTTTTCATAGCCCAAACTATTCGCTGATTCTACCCAATCAGTCATCCAGACCATCTCGACCTCCATCTGACGCGCGACTTTCTTGCTGACCACTGCACTAACAAGATAGGTACGACGTCTTTTCATAGCTCAAACTATTCGCTGAATCTATCCAGTCAGTCATCCAGATCATCTCGACCTCCATCTGCATGGGCCATTTGGCACTCGTGCCCAGGGCCTGGTTGTCTTAAAAATACGATTCGAGCTTCACTCCTTCAGGCAAAACCAACTTGAAGCTATCATCCCCTGTGAACAGATCCATGGTTGAGCCATCAATGGCTAGAAAGCCACCTCTCCACTCTGGACAAGTACGTGACTTGGCGAATTTCTGAGCCAGGTCACTATCCTCAGAGTCACCTGCTGGGAAGCAGATGAACTGATCATGGGCATCGAGTACCGCGACCATCACACGATTAGTGCAATTGACCACTGACCCAACACTCACACCTGCCCATTGAGCAACATCCTCAAGAGTAATGGCATTGCCATAGTGGCCTGCATGATTCAGAAAAATAGCAAGCTGGATGGAGACGGGGAGCTGAGGATTGTTGGACTGGTTCTGGAAGATAGGGTGATCAGAGATATGATTGAGGATATCGCCAAAGATCTCTGGGTTGACACAAAGTTTTTGCCGGAACAGGTGAGGGCGGTGTTCCTCATGGTGAACCAGCATATGAAGCTGAGGTGCTTGTGGAGGGGGCTCATCGGGCTTATGGAGTACATGTGCCCTCTTGACCTCATCACGAAGAGCAGCAATGGTGTCCTGAAGCCTATCGTAGGGTGCAGCAATGTTATCGGATTCGTCACTGGAAGAATCTGAAACCCCTGTCATAGGGGAGATGGGGGAGATGGGGGATGGGGGGCTAAAAGACAGACTGATATTATCATCATCTGAAGTTGAAAGTGAGTCCAGGTCAGAGTTGGTGTCAGACTCAAAGTCTGACCAGTCGTCGAGGATATCCTGATACTGCAACTTGGCTAATGCAAGTGCAGCCTGATCAACAGCATTTAAGATGTCTTTATGTGTGGATTGATGAGGCATGGTGCTGGGGAATTTACAGTGTGATCTCTTATCAGCTCATCTGATCTCCAACTGATTTGTCAGAGTTTGAATCGGAGTTTGAATTCCACCACCATCAGCGTGCTGATTTGTTGACCTCCACCTCTGAGACTGTCATAGCCTAACATCCGCCAAGCCTTTATCGACCTCCACCAGACTGTTGCTAACATCCACCAAGTCTTTGTTGACCTCCACCAGACTGTCGCTAACATCCACCAAAGTTCCGATCCCCTGCTACATGCAGCCAACGCGTCTCTGTTGTTTTAATGCAGCCACTCTGGGTTTGCAGTCACTCTCGCACACATGTGGTCTCTTATCTGTTCGTTCACATTCGTATCTGCTTGTATCCAGTCATTCTCACTCATATCTACCTGTTTACACTCATTTACAGCCGTTTATTCACGCTTGCACACATTTTGTTATGCATCCTAATGGTGCTCAGTCACGCCAGTCCCCAACACATTCGCACTTCTCCTTGCAGCCTGGTTGGGCCCAAGCCATGGCTTCAAGCGCCAACACATGTGTCATCCCACACGGCTTAGAGCCAGCACTCGAGTGTGCCAGGATTGAGGGATGTTCGAGGGAGGATAGTAGGGAGCCAGGGCACACTGAGTAGATGGCAGGCTGAGCAGACAGAAAGCTTTGATTCCCTCTCTCCCTCCATTGATATTCAATTACATGTCAGCGCATTAACTAGTAGCTACAAATATATTTGTTTTATCCTTAGTGCATTGGAATCTTCTAAGTGCTTTGAAGTCTGCTCATATGCATATGTTATGCCACCTGTGCCACAGCTGTTAGATGCTGTTCTAGCCGAGTTTCTTGACGCCTTTAGGCGGTGTTGGAAGGTTTAGCCGTGCTCTATGCGAGTTTCCAAAAGTTTTTGGAAGTTATTTTGAGTCCCACTAATGTATTAAAGTATGATATTGATGTTCATGTCACCGCCTGCAGCACTCCCATCTGCATGCCAATCAAATTCGCTCATACCAATCTTAGTCCATTGCTGGAGCATCTCTTTAAGCTCTTCGCAAAGTTCTGGAATATTGAGCAACTTGTCAACTGATGTCTACAACTTGTTGAAGTTGGTCCTGCATCCATCATCAGGGAGTTCAGGAGATTTGTCAGTTCCAGTTTCACCAAACCCAGATATAACACCCTTCATCTATGAAATCATCAGCAAAAAAGAAAAAAGTGCATGACCACCACCACAAGAATGAGCACATTAACAAAGATTGTTTGGTGGAAGTCATCCATGATCTTCAGTGCTTTTTTGCTGTTGCTGTAGAAAAATTCAAGACCAACATCCTTGAGAGCCTGCAATATAAAATTCTTGAATTTTCACTATGAGAAAAAATAGTGAGTAGCACTATTAACAAGAGTTGTTACCTACATCAAATGAGTCAGGGATCTGAAGGTAATCACCAGTCTTGAGTAGCTTAGTGGCAGCTGCAATGACACACTTCTTTATCTCCTCTGATTGCAATGAGGTGCCCTTCATAAAGATATCATATAATAATTTGGCTATAGAGATGACAACCTTTTTAAGCTCTGTACATAACATGAAGAAATCATCACAGAGCTTATCAATGTATTAGCAAGAGCATTCACTATCAATAAATAGGTGACTTACCAATCAGCACATCTGCAGGCTATACACCAGGAAGTAGCCACTGACAACAGGACACCATTTGAACTCTTTTATGGTGAACTGCCGGACATCTCGTACTTACGTCTATTCGGCTGCCTCGCCTATGCTCACATCCCAGATGACAATCACTACAAATATGAATTTGTGTCCTTCAAGGACACTAGATACCTTTTATGGGATCTGGCGACACACCAAATAGTACACTCCCGGAATGTCCATTTTGACGAAAGCTTTTTCTACAGCACATCCAATTTGGTTGTTTCACCCCTTGTTGAGCTGTACAATCAGCGCACTGAAGGTTCAACGATACAGCGAGGCACGAACAATGCTCCTGGTTGTATCTATAAATGTTGTAAGGTCGCGCGTTGCCTAGTCTGCTATACTTGAGACGACAAGTGCGTTCGACCCTAAAGGGGAAGCGAGTGCAGCAAGGATCTAGAGGTATGCGCTGAAAGCGCTACTGGTTGGCCAATGCGAAGCGCGAGAAAGCGCAGGTGCGCGCAAGGCGCGAGAATGCGCGAAGCGCGGGAATGCGCGCGCGTGTATGCGGAAACAAGAGAGAGTAAGAGTGAGTTTGCTTAGGTGATGATATGATGTAAGACAAGAGAAGGGAGATGCGAGGTGTAAACAAATAGATTTCTACTATGTTCTGCTAGGTAAATAGTGGGTAGTAACCAGTAAGTCCTCTGTCGTTCTGGTGGGAGAGTAAGTTTTCCAGTCATAGTATGTACTGCTGGCGCTTAAGTATGGCGCCTAAGCGCTGTCATGCGGAGCCGAAGCGCTACCGAGTAAGGTATGTAAAGATATATGTAAGTAAGGGTCCATGATAAAAATAAAGATGGAACGATAAGCAAATGTGAGAAATGGAAATATACGCACTAGGGAACTTGGTGGACAGTGGATGGATGCTTCTGGATGGCTGGCGCTATAGGGCGCTCAAGCGCGGGAAAGCGCGCGCGCATATACATCGTGAAGCGCGGGAAAGGTACGCGCGCATGGCGCGCGTTGCGCGGGAAAGCTGCGCCTCATATAGAGATAGCTGCGGGTAGCACACAGAGTGATGCTACAAGTTCGTGCCATGTACTCCCCAGTGAAAACTGCCATATTGCACAATGAGAGGCATGAGTCTCTACAGCACCTTAATGCAACAGTCCCCCCCTGCATTGCCACATCCTTTGACAACATCAGAAGACACCTCTGAAATCATGCTGATAGGACCCAGTACCATTTCAGTGGGAATACTTCCAAGTTCTGCTCCTCTCATCCCTGAACCTTTGTAACCATTCTCACAGTCAAATGACAATATTCTGCCCATTGTTGCTGAGGACCCAGTAGAAAATTTATCACCTCCTGAGCCACAATGTTTGACATGCCAATGCATCGATGCTCCACCAGCAGTTCCAAGATTTGTTGCTGTCCCAACCAAAAATGTCCCAGTACAGCGGCATTGGACTTATGTCCTGGTTACTGTTGAGGAGGAAGTTGAAGAACAAAATGGTGGTACTACTGCAATCTCTGACATCACTATTGAACACTCTGCAAGTCATGTATCCTTGATGGACAGCAATAAGATCAACAGACAGAAGCTCCCCCCACAGACAATAGCTGCAGCTTGCTCGTCAACAGATTCTGGTCTTTGGGATGGTGTGATGAATGAAGAGTTAGCTTCATTGTGAGAAAAAGAAGTCGGTATCCTAACACCACTTCCACCAGGGAGAAAAATGGTTGGCTCATGGTGGGTATACTCACATAAGTATGATGAAAACAGTCACATTGCCCATCATAAGGCCTGTCTTGTTGCACAAGGTTTCATGCAGATTGAGGGTCTAGACTATATCAACACCTTCACTCCAGTCGCAAAATATGACACAGTATGTGTGTTACTCTCCATGGTTGCTAAGTTTGATCTCGAACTGGATCAAATGGATGTAAAGACCGCTTTCCTCAATGGCAATCTTGATTAAGAAATCTACATGCGTCAACCCCCAGGTTTTGAAAACCCTGAGCACCCAGATTGGGTCTGGAAACTCCTCAAGGCCATCTACAGACTCAAGCAAGCTGGCTGTCAATGGAACAAGACACTTGATGATTACTTATGAAAGGAAGGTTTCAATTTTGTTCACAGTGAGGCAGACTATAGCCTGTACGTTTTATGCAAGGATGACAAGACCATTTGGCTCCTTGTTTATGTTGACGACATGTTGCTTGCATCAAAATGTCAGACCTTTCTTAACAGTTTCAAGTTGGAGATGAGCAAACATTTTGAAATGAAGGACCTTGGTAAAGCACGTCATTTCTTAGCAATGCATATTACCCGTGATTGCCCCAAGAAACTCCTCACCATCAATCAATCCTCCTTCCTCAAACAAATTCTCAGTGAAACTCAGATGTCAGATTGTCAGCCAGTGTCTACCCCCATGGTCCCGGGCATCTCCTTGATGAAGACATCTGCACTTCTCACTCAAACTGAAGCGCAACAATTCGCACATATGCCATACATGCATGTCATTGGGGGACTCAATTTTGCCATGTGCGTTAGCCATCCAGACATCATGTATGCAGTATCAACATTGTTGAAATATTTGAGTAACCCTGGCATAGAGCACTATCACCAGCTTCATCATCTCCTTCATTATCTTTGAGGAACCACACACCACTCCCTGAATTTTGGCTTATCCAATTATGGACTCATTGGGTACTTGGATTCAGATTTCGCATCTGACAAGGATGACAGCTGTTCAATTGGGGACTATGTCTACTACCTTTTTGGTTCCCCCATTAGTTGGTGTTCTCAAAAACAGTCCATTGTTGCGACTTCATCCACTGAAGCAGAGTACATCTCCCTTTCTAATGCTGCCTGTGAGCAGATTCATCTCAGTCAGCTGCTATGTGATCTTGGTCTTGACCTGTCACTTATCACCCCTACTATGCTCTATGGCAATAATAATGGAAGTCACACACTAACAAAAAACCCACAATTCCATAACCAGTGTAGGACTTGGAGTCCTTGTGGCCTCGTAGAGGTCTATTTTCTGATGCATGTTGAAATGCTAATCATTACCCAAATCATTATCTGTCATATCCGACTTAATACGCACCAAACCCGAAAACATTGGACATTGCATCGGGTTTCACATCAGCCCATTGGATATCATGTGCACTCATCCTACCTATGTCCAGTCTCATTGCGCTAGCCCCACTAGGTGTGTAGTTACTTGTTTTTGCATCCCTAACATTGTTGACCGCATTATTACATATATTCCCATAGTCCACAGTACATCATGTCTTATTACATAGGACATCAGACCTGAAATATTGTGCTACTACTTTCACCTATAGTGTTCCAGATTTCTACATAAATATTGGACTCCCCATAGCATCATTATCATCTGAGTAGAGGAGGATCGTCTCTGATGCTTAGGGGTCAAACCTGATAATTGCAAATATCATTGTTCCTTCACCATCCGTATCTGTCATTGTTATCATTGCGCATACCACTCGCTTTCCCGATGCTCACTATTAGTCTCCAATACACCGAACCCAAACACAAAAACACAAAACCCAAAAACATTGGATCCGACACTTTTTGCATTGGACATCATAATCATACCTTCGGACATTGTTTCCCACGCTCGGATTATTGACCCCACATCACTCACTGACCCCCAAAACTATTCCCAGACCGCTGTAGAGACTCATGCCTCTCATTGTGCAATATGGCAGTTTTCACTGGGGAGTACATGGCACGAACTTGTAGCATCACTCTGTGTGCTACCCGCAGCTATCTCTATATGAGGCGCAGCTTTCCCGCGCAACGCGCGCCATGCGCGCGTACCTTTCCCGCGCTTCACGATGTATATGCGCGCGCGCTTTCCCGCGCTTGAGCGCCCTATAGCGCCAGCCATCCAGAAGCATCCATCCACTGTCCACCAAGTTCCCTAGTGCGTATATTTCCATTTCTCACATTTGCTTATCGTTCCATCTTTATTTTTATCATGGACCCTTACTTACATATATCTTTACATACCTTACTCGGTAGCGCTTCGGCTCCGCATGACAGCGCTTAGGCGCCATACTTAAGCGCCAGCAGTACATACTATGACTGGAAAACTTACTCTCCCACCAGAACGACAGAGGACTTACTGGTTACTACCCACTATTTACCTAGCAGAACATAGTAGAAATCTATTTGTTTACACCTCGCATCTCCCTTCTCTTGTCTTACATCATATCATCACCTAAGCAAACTCACTCTTACTCTCTCTTGTTTCCGCATACACGCGCGCGCATTCCCGCGCTTCGCGCATTCTCGCGCCTTGCGCGCACCTGCGCTTTCTCGCGCTTCGCATTGGCCAACCAGTAGCGCTTTCAGCGCATACCTCTAGATCCTTGCTGCACTCGCTTCCCCTTTAGGGTCGAACGCACTTGTCGTCTCAAGTATAGCAGACTAGGCAACGCGCGACCTTACAACATTTATAGATACAACCAGGAGCATTGTTCGTGCCTCGCTGTATCGTTGAACCTTCACCGCAGACCCCTGGGTCAAACACACTTGTCCCACAAGTATAGCAGATAGGCAGTGCAAGACCACAACATAAAGATATCAGTTTGGAGCCATTTTTGTATAGCCCCACTCTGTGTTGTATACCTACACCAGGCAAAGCACATTCGCATCTGCTATCACTTCATTTGTGATCTCATTAGCGATGGGACCATAATTATCCCATATGTACCCACTCATGACATGGTTGCTGACATTTTCATGAAATCCCTGCCATGGAAATTTTTTCGCAACCATCACCACTTGCTCACCCTTCATTCACCTTCAAACAAGGAATCAGCTGAATAAGCTACACACGTGCCTCTAGTGATTTGCATCTGAGTGGGAGTATCAACATATGACCTTTATATGT